ACTATAGAGACATCAGAGCCAGCGGTAAATTCCAGAAGTTCTGGCTGAGGTAAAGCTGCTCTCAGTGGGTTCATGAGCGCCGAACGGCCGCTGATGTCTTGGAGCTCACATCTCCAAAAAAGTAGAATCAATTTTTTAAATAGTCGTTATCTTTATTAACAAACCACATATTTGAAGTCTAAGCACATTCTCGCCTAAAAAACTCTCAAAACTACATTCCGTGTCACAAAAGTAGTATTATTTATAAACAGTGTTGGGGAGTAACTAGTTACATGTAACAGAATTATGTAATTTAATTACAAATTAAATCTAATTGTAATCAGTTACAGTTACTGAGAAAAAAATGTGCAATTAAATTACAGTTACTTATGAAAATGTTAAGGATTACAAAGGGGGTTACATCTGCATTTTTTTCACACACACCCCTATGAAGATTTAATTGACTTCTTTCATAAATTGCATAAATTCATAGACTGCTCTAAAATATGAGACACCAATGTCTCAGGAGTTTAATACAGAGAATATGACACGTGCTTATTTGATAACTGCTTTATTTCCTATCTGGGTTTATGTATATGCCCTTTTTTTTTTTAGATTGTTTGTTTTTTTTCCAAGGCATTGTTAGATTCCAGTGTTTCCTGTCATAGCTATGCAAAGATTTGATTTCAAAAACAGTATCATAGCTATTAAACTATATCTTGTTATGATTTAAAATCTGTATTTAACCTCAGAATGTTCTCAAAGTAAGTCTGATTTTGTGGTGGCTGTGCTTTAAAATTAAATTATTATAAACTTAATTCAAGTGATGAAGGATTTTAAAAGTCTGACAGTAATTACAACCCCAATTCCAGAAAAGTTGGGAGGTTTTGTGAAATACCATATTTGTTCATTCTCTTTAACCTTCATTTAATTGATTAAAGTACAAAGAAAAAATTCCAATGTTTTCACTGGCCAACTTAATTTTATTTTGTAAATATAAACAAATTTTGATTTTGATGGCTGTAACACACTCCAAAAAAGTTGGGACTGACTCGGCATGTTTACCACTGTCACAATGGCTGTAACACACTCCAAAAAAGTTGGGACTGACTCGGCATGTTTACCACTGTCACATGAACTTTCATTTTAATTACAGTGTTTAATTGTTTGGGAATTGAGGATACTAATTGCAAAATGTTCGTCCAATCTCGCTTAATTGAATACTTCAGATGCTCAGCAGTCTGTGATTGTCATTGTCAGATTCTCCTTTTCATGACTGGTCATACATTTTCAATAGGAGACAGATCTGGACTGCAGTCAGGCCAGTCTAGCACATTCAGAATGAATGTGTGCTGTTGTAGCACATGCAGAATGAGACCTGCCATTGTCTTGATCTAATAACCATGGACTTCTCATGTACAATTCTTCTCATGTACAACTCTGTACAATTTCAATATATGCCTCCATGTAAATGGTACCTTCGCACATATTCCAGTCACCCATGCCATTTGCTCTGCTGCACCCCCATACCATGACAGATGTTTGCTTTTGCATCTGTCGCTAGTAAAAGTCTGGATGGTCCCTTTAGTCTTTGGGACTGAGAAATTGACATCCATTTTTCTTAGAAACCAGTTGAAATGTGGACTCACCTGACCACAGCACACATTCCCATTGTCTTTTTGACTATCTGAGATGAGCTCGGGCCCAGAGAACCCCGCGGCTTCACTGCATAGAATTGATGTATATTTTCTCCTAGGGTAACAGAGATTCAAGTTGCATTTATTGATGCAACGACAGACTGTGTTAAGTGACAGCGGTTTTCCGAAGTACTTCTGAGCCCATGTGGCTATATTTAACACTGCATGACGGTTTCTTAGGCAGTGCCATCTGAGGGCTCAAAGGTCATGACTCATGCACATTCAACTGAGGTTTCCTGCCTTGCCCTACACAGATTGAGATTTCTATGGATTCCCTGAATCTTTTCACAATTATGTATGGTAGTTGGTGAAATACCTAAATTCTTTGTGATTTTGCTTTGAGAAATGTGATTTTTTTATTTGTTTGACACTTCTCTCATGAAATGTGGCACAAAGTAATGAGCCATAATCCAGCTTTGCTTGCAAAGCATTAGATGCTCCTTTTATACCCAAACATGACACCCTCACCTATTACCAATTCACCTGCTTACTGTGGACTGATTCAATACAGTTTAATTTGGATATTCTTTAGTTTAGTTTGGAACTTTTTTGGAGTGTGTTGCAGCCATCAAAATCAAAATGTGTTTATATTTACAAAATACACTTAAGTTGGTCAGTGAAAATGTTAGATTTTTTTCCAAATTAAATAAAATTTTAAGAAAATTAACAAATCACCGATTCTTGATTTTACCGCATTTTACAAAACTTCCCAACTTTTCTGGAATTGGGGTTGTGGTGTTGAGCACTACTGTAAGGTTAACCCTGCCTGGTTTAAATGTTTGAAAATCACTAACAGTTGAAAACATTAGAAATTTAGAAAAGTAATCAAAAAGTAATCAAATGTAATCAGTTACATTATTTTAATAAAGTAACTGAAATACAGTAGTTACACTACTTATTACTTACTACAATTTAACAGGGTAACCTTCCCAACACTGTGTATAAAATTATAGTGGATTTGGGCGTCCACCATGACACTGGCTGTGAGAAATACTGCAAGCAGAGTGATACAAATGGTGAAACAGTTGGAGTTCTGTTATCACTTGAATATCGCGCTCCACTCAGCCAATCAGATTCGAGGACCAGAAAGAATATATTACAGTTAATTAGCCAAACAAACAGATTACAAACCCATTTTGAGAAACGCACTCACACGTTTCTCACAGTGATGGTTGGCACGGCCGTCATCGCAGTTGACACATGATGTGGGATCCTCTAGTCTGGAAGGTTTGAGACAGAACTGGGAAGATGAACTGGGAACAATGCATTACACATATCAGCAGAGCAGAGAGGAGTACTGTAGGCTCGACAAGATACATCTCACTGGTTGCTGACATGCACTTATCAACTATAATGACAGGATGTGTGTGTGTCTGTGTGTCTGTGTGTGTGTGTGTGTGTGTGTGTGTGTGTGTGTGTGTGTGTGTGTGTGTGTGTGTGTGTGAATGTAGGTAAGTGGTTGTGTGTTAGCTGAATGTGTGTGTGTGAGAGGGGAAAATGGCCATGTGAGGAAGTGTGCAGAGACAGGAAGCAACGACAGACAGAAAGAGGGAGAGAAACACAGGATCCCAGGGAGAAGGTGTCATTCTCGGTAGATGACATGCCATGAAGATTGTCTAATGAAAAGGTTCTCAAAGCAGCTCTCACCCTGCTGATGGTACTGATGAAAGCAGTATGTGACGGAGCTCTGTGACTATACTGAGAGAAAGAAAGAGACTGTGAGTGAGATAAAACATTGTTTTTCTAATCAATGGTGTCTTATCATTTATGAATAATCATAGATTAGTGTGTGTTCAAACACTTACAGTTCACAAGTCTGAGACAACTCATTTGTTTTTGCATTATTCTATGTTTTATTATTAGAAATTATATTTTAGTATTTAGTTTAGTCTTTCTTTTACTTTAATGGCAGCAGCACTGGAGCTGCATCAACTCTATAAGATGTGTAAAACCTGATGATTATGTGATCCAGCATGATTTGGATTTGGATCTTCAAAGGAAGAAGAACATCTGACTGTCCGTACAAAGTCACATGATCAGTGTCACACATTTCCCAGTTTGATTAGTGACCTAGAAATAGTGCAGAATCTATTTTTTTCCCTATTTCTTTTACATCTGAATTTCACATTTAAGTTAAATTAAATGTAATCTTTAAATTTAAGTTTAAACTTAAACTTAACATTTAAGTTAAAATTAAAATGTGGCTTATTTTTAGATCACACTGTATACACTACAGTTCAAAAGTTTGTAAATTAATATTTTTATTAAGCAAAGATATATTAAATTAATCAAAAGTGACAGTAAAGACATGTATAATGTTACTAACGTTTTTTTTTTGCTATTATTAAAAGAATCATGAAAAAGGTAACACAGTTTCCATAAAAAATTTAAGAAGCACAACTGTTTTCAGCTTTGTTAATAAGTAATGTTTCTTAAGCACCAAGTCATTTTATTAGAATTATATAACTGTTTCGTTATGGAGTATTTAACAACAAATTGAAGTGGTTGTCAGATGGCGAAGTACCGTATCGCATCCATCAAAAAGGCATGTCAACTGTTTTTGGGTCTTTAGTATTTATTACTCACACACCAGCTTATCCAGAGGCATATACAGTTTACAGACATTGATACTTGCTATTCATTTATCTCTGCTGGTTTCAGTACATTCCTACGACCAATTCTTTGACCATTTTTGAGGAAAGAGCACTTAGGATGAAGCATGCCTAGGCAGTGAAGGAAAATGAACAAGGTATATGGCAAGAGTTTTAGATGGTTACTTTTTACTGCCTGTATAAAGTTGCTATTTTGGCAGGCACAGTCCTATAACACTTCCATGAACTCAACCTCACTGTTTTTTGTCCTGTCAGAATAAAAAAATGAAGGTGTATTTTTCAGTTAAACATTGTCTCTTGTAGTCTTACAATCTTCTGTTAAATGTGTTGCTCCAAAAACATTTGTCTAGCTTGTTGAAGTTGTTTCAGAGCTCATAGAGACAAGCATATAAAACATTTTCTTTGAAATACTCCATCCCTTGAGCAACATGATTAATCTGTTTTCTATGCAACATTGTATAATCTCATAGCTCAGGGCTTTTGTGGAAAATGTAAACAATTATAGTCTATACAGTATCATTGCTCCATTGTGGCCACATATGTATTTTTTAATTTTTTATTTTAAAAATACTTATTTAAAAGATTTTATTCAAGACGTCTTTCCCCTTCACTCTGTGCTTGATTGTTAGATGATCTTGGAATTTGTTTGCTCATTGAATTAGCTTTTTAAATGAACATGTTTTTTTTTCTGTCTCTTTCTTTGTATCTCCAGGTGGGAGCAGACTGTTCCCACGAGCAGACATTTGGACACAGTCAAGTGAGTGTTCTGATGTGCCTTACTGAAAGAATTAAAGAGAGACCAAAAATGAAAAATCTGTCATAATTTACTCCCCCTCATGTCTTTCTAAACCTGTATGACTTTCTTTCATCTGTGGAACTCAAATGAATTTGAAGAATGGTTCAACTGTTTTTGCCCATACTAAAGTAAAACAACACTGGACTTTCATTGTATGGACAAAAATATAAGATATAAGATCTTCTTTTGTGTTCTTCAGAAGAACAAGACATATATTTTAGGTGAACTATGCCTTTAATAATCATTTAAAAATAATATTTTTTGGGTAAACTATCCCTTTAACAATGTGTGAATTCATTATACAAAGCTATAGAGTTTTGTATGATGAGACCACTAGTGAAAATGCTTCTATTTCTTATTTATTTATTTATTTTATTTTAATGCATTTCCATTTATTACTGTACATAAATTTTGTCATTACAAATTACATTACCGCTCAAAAGTTTGGGGTGAGTAAGAATGTTTTTGAAATGTTTAAGAAATTAATATTACATTAATTAATACTTTTATTAAACAAGTACACATTAAACTGATCAGAAGTGACAGTAAAGACATTTACATTATCAAATAAATACAGCTGTGATTAGCAAAAGAGACTGCTTTCAAAAAAAACAAAAACAAAGAACAAAACAATTTGAACACAATTGTATACTATGGGCACAATAATTTAAGTGAAAAGTTAATTAAAACATCACAACATTAATTGGTAACCTACAAATGTGCAGAATTTGCAATATTTCTTATTCATTTTACTATACATCATAATGCTTCTTTGTTTAAAATCTAACTACACTTTATTTTCAGATTTAAATAAAAATTTAAACTCCAGATTTTCAATGTTGTCTATGACCTTTTGACCCCACTATGTATTTACAAAATTTGCGGTAACAGTTTACAATAAGGTTCCATTAGTAAATGTTAGTTAGTGTATTAACTAACATGAACGAACCATAAACAGTACATTTATTACTGTATTTAATTAATATTTGTTAATGTTAGTTAATGAAAATACAGTCGTTCATTGTTAGTTCATGTTAATTCACAGTGCATTAACTAATGTTATCAAGCACAACTTTTGATTTTAATAATGCATTAATAAATGTTGAAATTAACATTAACATTTAAAAATGCTGTACAAATATTGTTCATTCTTAGTTCATGTTAACTAAAGTAGTTAACTAATGTTAAAGGGTTAGTTCACCCAAAAATTAAAATTCTGTCATTAATTACTCACCCTCATGTCAGCTGCGTCACGCCGGATCTGTTTCCTACGTTGTTGTGATTTGATCTGAACGTAAACAGCGTATCCGTGTGATGCAGCTGACACAGAACAGCATACGCTGTTTACGTCCAGCGGATATTCTCCAAAATGGCACCAGGGTGATGCGGAGGAGATGAAATGTTGAATAAAGTCGTTTTTTTTTTTCTTTTGCGCACAAAACGTATTCTCGTAGCTTTGTACAATTGCGGATGAACCACTGATGTCACATGGATTATTTTACAGATCTCCTTGCTACGTTTCTGGACTTGAGAACATTTCAGTTGCGTTGCTGTCTATGCAGGGTCAGACAGCTCTCAGATTCCATCAAAAATATCTTAATTTGTGTTCCAAAGATGAACGAAGGTTGAAGATGAAGGTCTTACGGGTTTGAAACGACATGAGGGCGAGTAATTAATTACAGGATTTTCATTTTTGGGTGAACTAACCCCTTACCTAATGAACCTTATTGTAAAGTTTTACCACATTCACTTTATACATTCATATTTTCAGTGTCTCTGAACTTCCATGTTCCCCATGTTATATAAGTGAGCTGTCAAGACGCAGTAAGCATAGACCTGCACACACCCTCTCACAGATGACTATTTGCTCTAGTGCTAACAAGTGTCAGCTTTGAGCACTGCAGCAAGCGGTGACAGGTTTTGTCAAATTATAGGTCAGTCTGACAGTGACAGGGGGAAATGGAGAGGAGGGTGTAAATGTCTAATCACCTGCTCTGTTTGTGCCAGATTTCAGAGCCCGTTGCACTATGGTATGCATGTATTCTCTTCTCTTGTCATTTCTGTTCTATAGTCGAAGACCCCAGAGCAGATCGGACAAGGCCAAGCAAGGACAGCAGAGGAAAGTGTGAAAACAGACGGAGACCTATAAAAGACACAAATGGACAAACACAACTAAAGGGACAGTGGAAGACTTGGCAGATTTTCTGCATGGTAAAAAATGATGTCAGATCTGTTTAAGCCCCTCTTCATTCACTGAGCTTATAAGCACACACACACACACACACACACATACACACAGAACTGTAAACAAACACAAACAACGACAGACACAAACACAAAATACTCAGTCTAACACTGCTAACGTAGAAAAAGAAATTCCCAACATTCAATTTTGAACTTTCTTAATAAAAACCAACCGCATAGTATGGCATGCATTATAGAGTTTTAGATATTGATTTTACAAGGTTACGATGGTACTGGTTGTTTTTAATAATTGTTACTTTTTTTTTGTTCACTGTCTATTTAGATTTTTTTTTTCTCCCAAAGTGAGGACACAATGTTCTTTGATTTGTGTTGTTTGTAATTAAAAACTATTTCTGGCACCTCAGACCAGAATTTCAGTGTTAAAGGTCACGTTGGGGGTCATTTGAGTTCTGTAAATTTACACATGAGGTCAAATTCAAACTTTCGTCTAAGCAGCATTTCTGAAAATATTGAGTCATGTCCTGAATGCAAAATATGGCTGCACGATTTGAGGAAAAAAAAAAAAAAAAAATGGGTATGATAAAAATAGCTAATAATTACAAAAAAATACAAATATTTAAAAAATAAGAAATATTGCTATAGTGATTATTATAGTAATAACTCACTGTATAATAATAATGATTATTATTATTATTATTATTACAGTGCAATTGTAAAATTACAATAATAATATTTGAGTCTAATTTATTTATTATTATTATTTTCTTTTATTTATTTTTTTTTCAAATGTTAAACAATCAAGCTTTTATTTTGGCTGCTCATGTGTAAAAGTGTGTAAAAACACAATGCCACTTCACTCTTAAACACGTAGTGCATATATGTATTTAAATAATTTGCAGCATTTGCGATTTGATAATCATACTAAGCCATGTTGCGATTTCAGTTTTACTCCAATTAATCGTGCAGCCCTAACAGAAACAAAATCAATCCCACCTCTGCTAAAATGACGAAAAGAACCGTTAAATGCAGCTCAAATGTGAAGGTACGGTTTGTCTCGTGTTGTAGCAAAGATTAATTTACTCCTCCTACTCCATATTACGAGGCTCAAGTTGGCTGGCCAACTATCACTGTTGAATATTTCAGAGCTTTTAGTGCCAGAATTAAAGAGAAAATCTCGACTCACAGTGAGTCGTCTCCCTAAGAATGATGTGCCATGCACCGAGTACTTAATCTACTGCTACATCTCTCTGTTTCTCTACCTTCTTGTGTCCTTTACAATAAACCGTGATTTTCGCTAAATGTGTGAAGAATAAATGGTTATTTGTGGAGTAAAATAACAGACTCGTCCTGACTCTGCTGCTCCATTTAATTAACACCTCTGGTGCTTCAAGAAAGGCCCTGTTATACCGTTAAAGTGCAAGGTCAATAACCTAGATCCCACGGGATCAAGCAAAAGTCCTCAGTGGTGTATCCTGTACGGGAGCAGCACATCATAATAACTTCTTAGGTTCTTAGCCTTTTCATAGACATTTGATTTTTCTTTCTCCATCCTTCCTTCTCTCTCTGCCCACCACTTTTACCAGCTGAACTTTCTATTCCCTTTATGTAAACACTGAACTGAAAAATTTAAAAAATTCCAGGAAGAGACTATTAATTATGGGGAACTGAGTCTTGATGAAAAGTTATGCTGGCAGTTTGTTTTTAAAAAGGCCTTGACGTGACAGCAGTAGCTTTGTCTTGGAAATTAAAGCTGACATTATTGTTCTTTAAAGATTATGACAATTGCTCAATGCTTTTGTCTTTCTATTATGTAATTTTTTTTATCACATTTATGTCAGTGTAAATAGTACAGGCACAATCTTAATGAGGCAACAGCTTCTTTTTCTCGAGTCGGAGGTGGCAAAAACACTGCCAGTAGAAACGTCCACCTGCAAATTATGATTTCAGGCCATTTGCTACTTTGCCAATTATCATCAAAACTTCAGAGGGAAAGCATGCCAAGTGTATCCCAGATAGAGATGCTCCTCATGAATGTTTGAGCTGGAGAAGATACCGTATGAAGTGTCCTGACGGACTAAATGCTTACTCTCAGATCACTACACAGGAATATGAGACAGATAGTGACAAATCTGTGCGAAGAGCCAATTTACCTGTAGCTACACTGTGGCTTCCAAAAATATGATGTTGTCTTCCCTTGAAAAACTTGCCTCTACTAGATCTTATAAATAAAAAATGAGCCATGATCAAAACCTGATTTATATCAGCCTCTCTGAAAAAGCCTTTCGGAGAGGCAGAGCATGCCTGATTACATTTGCTGTGAATAGAGACTGACTTGTTACAAACTTTTCAAAGTCAAGTGCTTCATTCAGCACAAGGAATGAGACATTAACATTTGGATTTACATATTACCTCAGTCTTTGAATCCAAAGCATGCAACAATCTTTGGTGATTAAAAGCATAGTTCTGCACTCACTGCGAAAATACTGCAAAGGCTTAATGATGCTAAATCGAGACGCAATGACATTATTTTGATGTGTTTAAGAGTTCTACATGTGCCATTCACCTCTGATCTTGGAAACTCCAACTATTTTGTTGCCTTCAGCCTCCATTAATGCTTATATGTGGTTTGGATGATTTTGAGAAAAGCATTCTGATAGGCTAATTACAGCTCAGAAAGCCAATTTTCCCCTCTTCATACCATCTATCACACTCAAGCCAGGGAAAAGGTGGAGGAAATAGAGCCCATCAGCAACTTCAAAGTGAATTATATAGCTCCATCAATACTTCCATTCAAACTCACTCTGGAAGTACTCACGTACAGACACCTGTAGTGGTTTGGTTGTTTACGCGTTGAGTTATGAGGAGGTAAAACGAGTGTGATAAACGAAAGTGTTTTCAGGAACAACAACAGCCATCATCAGGAGAAAAGGAAGCTGAAGAATCTGGGCCAGCTGTGAGATGTGGTGCCAGTGCATTCATGAAGATTCCTGGTTGCCAAAGGCAGAATTACACGGTCAAACACACACACACACACACACATACACACACAAAAAACCGCATTTGGACACTATTCAGACAGTGTATCTTAAGATAGAAACAACAGCCAACAAAACAGGCCTTTAAATCTCATCTGACATTTAGCGATAAGAACAGTTACACTAGGCCTATATTACGCATTCTGTTTGAGGTGACGCAAAATTACAGCTTCACCCTGGAGATTGATTTCACCCAAAAACAACATTTCCAAACATTACGGCAGTGAGTAGCGTCTTTTATTTTGTACCTGGACAGTGATAGATGATTCATTAGGTTCATTACTCCTCAAGGATGGAGGAAGTTTTCATGGCAACAGTATCTTCGCCAGCTGGTTCAGTAACGCCAACGCTAAGCCAAACTTTAACATGAGATTTGCGTATCTATAAAAAGGTGGCGACGAGCCAGTCATAAAGTCATTGCGAGGACAGGTTTTACAGTGAACAGCTGTGGGGCTTAGCAGTAAAGTTTCTCACTGCCTCCCACACAGTGCATAAAAACACAATTATTCACCTATTATCTTTCACCTCGTCACATTTTACTCTAGGACTTATATACTAGTTAGTTTTTGTTTAGCTAACACCTATAGTACACTGTTTGCTAAGACATTCCCTCCGGACTGGCCTTGTAAATACGGCTATTTGTAATCAACTAGATAATAGGGGAAACGTACGGCAGTTCAGATATTAGTTGTACTTTTTTGATAAGATCTTTAGCCACAGCACATAATTGTTGACACTTCTGTGTATAAACCTAATCACCTCTTAAATATAGCTGAACTATGTCCTATTATTACAGAATTATGACTATGAAGAGTGCCATGAAATGTAGTAGGAATTTATTTAGCTCCTTAAATGGAGTGAGTGTCATTACTAGCAGAAGGCCACAATCAGAAATATGCTCTCAAATATAGTATGCTGTACTCGAAAAGAAATAACATTGACAAAATATATCCTGCAGCTAATTGATCTATAACGCACACAGCTTTACGATGTCAAACTATTTCAAGGTGTTTAATCTTAAAGAGCAAAATTTATATTAATATTCATAAGGTACCAACATATGCCGCTCCTAATTAAATAATTAATCTTCTATTAGGCTCCACAATTTTTTTAGATGTTGTGGCTTAAGTCAACTTAAGCTGCAAAAGGCCAACAATGCAAACTATCTAAATAGCACTCAGAGCAATCTAATCCAAACTAATTAAATACTCACACTAATTACCCATACTGCCCTTCTCTTCCTCCTGTAGTGTGGTCTGCTCATTAAAACAAGCATATCTACTCATTTCATGATGGATGAGATGGTTTGTCATTACTGTCACTTCTCCTCTACTATATATATATATATATATATATATAGTGCTGTCAAACGATTAATCTACTTTGCAGCCTGAAATGAAGACAGACAGTTTTTGTTTTATCTAGCTGTATTTACTCAGTGCAACTTATAACATCCAAGTTAAAGGGGTGGTTGATTGCGATTTCACTTTTTTAACTTTAGTTAGTGTGTAATGTTGCTGTTTGAGCATAAACAATATCTGCAAAGTTACGAAGCTGAAAGTTCAATGCAAACGGAGATATCGTCTTTTAAAATTCTGGCAGTTTAATGCCTACAAAAACGGCTGGTAGGGACTACAACAAGTTACTTCCCGGGTTCGTGACGCAACAAACCCAGATAAACCCCACCCTCAGGAAAAGGCAGCAAAGGGCCATGCTGCGCTGCTTTAGAGAAGAGCAAGAGAAAACGTCTCAGGTTACGTATGTAACCATGGTTCCTCGAGGGAACGAGACGCTGCGTCGGAGGACACTGGACACATACAGTTAAGCTTCTGCTGGTCTGGATCCCCTAAGGGATGAGGACTGAGGGCCTGAAGCACGACAGGCCGTGGTGTAGAGGAGGTGACCTTAGGAACATACCCCGCTCGAGGGTACAGAAACGCTTTGGCCAGACTGGGCGCAAAGTCAATGTAGACCTTCAGGGTGGAGTGGGTCAACCCTCTGGAGAAACGGGCCTGCAAGAACTCCAGCACTGTACCACCCGGGCAGTTAACTGGGTCGAGCTGGCGATCTCCGAACCAAGAAGTGAAAAGTTTCCACTTCAAGGTGTACAGTTTCCTCGTAGAGGGAGCTCTGGCTTGGAGGATGCGGTCCGCAGAACCGCCTTCCGCTATAAGCCTTCGGCCTGGGAGCGCCACTGTGACTCTAGACTCTGCGGAGTACGAGAAGTGACGCCCCCAGAATGAGGAGCTGGAACACGGTAGGTTGGGACTGCTCCCGCCTAGCAGTCCCTGCTGACCGCCTCAACCTCCTCAGAGGAAGAGAGGTAAACTCGTGCTCTCACTCGAGAAAATGTATTTATTTATTTTTTATCCCAAGTGCCCCTGTATATCTAACTTCTCATAGTCAGATAAATACTAAATTTTATTCCTCAGAATTAAATGCCGTCAAACAACCAGAGGAGTAAATACAGTCTGGTGAGTAAGATTCACATCAAAAACCGAATTATATAATACAAGCGTTGCCTCGGCAGGGCGCGAG